CTGGGTATATATGGTATTTGTTTTAAAACCTTAGGAGTCACTTGATCGTTAGAGGATTCCCCCCATACAGTGGCGGATTCAAGGGGCCCGGCCCGGGCCCCCGTAATTATTTGAAAATTATTGGAATTGGAATGGAGAGAAAAAAAACCTGAAAATTATATTCATATCCTGAGAGTGCCATTTCCGGCCAATAGCAAACAATTATTTGTCGAGATTTAGGCAATCAAATATAATTATTTTCAATTATGTTTCAATAGGGCCTCTGGTCCCTTACGTTTGTGCCACAGCTGCTATCGCTCTCCTCTTATTCTATTCTGAAAGTTCGCACTTTCCCCCACTCCAGTTTGAAATAATTCTGGACGCCCTCTCATGCCCAATATGTTAGTCGTGAAGGGAGATTCCACCTTCCAATTAATGAACCGTAACATTTTCAAGAATGTTCAGTGAAAGATTAACTATTTCCGACGATTTAATACACTAATGAACGGAACAAAATTTAATAATTTAGCATTACGTATTACAAGTAAAACACATTCTCTCTAATGAAAACTTACATTGCAATTATGTTCACCTAGAGAATGATCAATGAAAGATTAAATATTTCTGACGATTTAAGTGAACGGAACTAAATTTAGTACTTTAATAAACTTATTACAAGTACTGTACAAACAAATTCTCCGCGAAAACACACATGCCTAATACAAAATGTTATCGAAAAACTTTCTTGCAGGTGTGAGCTAGCAAATTGAACACTACGGTAACATTGCATTTTATGTCATATAAAGGGTGATGAATGAAAGGTAAAATATTTCTGACGATTTAATAAATGAACCGAACTAAATTTAATATGCCTATACTTAATCATTGCAGTATAATCGAATTTATTACTGATAGGCCTAAGTAAAAAAAAACCTCAACAGTACATCGCGCAGCCGATTTAATTACAGTGCCTTTTATTCAAACAATGCAATAAAATATATTGCAATTTTGTCTATATATTTTGTCTTTGTTTGAGGTAGGTGGCATTTCTGGCAGAAAGAGTTGGAATTTGCCAGACCACCAGGCACTGCAATCACTTTATATTTTTAATATCATTTTATCTCTCTCCCGTACCTTCGCCATGGCGAACGTGTGCGAATCTGCCACCAATCTGCAGGATCTGCGCCTGCATGTATTGATTGAAAGTGTACCATAGCAAATTTTCGTTCATAGGTCTAATCTTAGATTTTTGTCAATGTCAGAATGCAAAATATTAAAATAACAATAATGCTGCAACAAGCTTTCTCTTGAATAAACCTGCCTGTTTTGAATTCAAAGTGTTTTTATTGTTTTGCTTAAAACATATTTTTATATATAAAAAAATATTTTTAAACTACGGTATGTATTAGATTCTACAGAACATCATTAAAATTGGTGTATATACAATGGAAAAGTACCGTAGCAAGTTTTCCCGGGGCCTACGGCCCCTACCCCGACTAGATATACCCTTGTCGCGTCGGCCCCTGGCCCCCAGAGGTGCTCGCTCTTCGCTCGCAACCCGACCACTTCAAATCTCGTGGCTACGGCCCTGCCTCATGCCCAATATATTACTCGTGAAGGGAGATTCCACCTTCTTCTCGCAGACGAAGAGGTGGGAAATTAATGAACCGTAACATTTGCAAGAATGTTCAGTGAAAGATAAAATATTTCCGACGATTTAATACATTAATAAACGGAACGAAATCTAATAATTTAGCATTACGTATTACAAGGTAAAACACATTCTCTCTAACATACATTGCAATTATGTTCCTAGAGAATAATCAATGAAAGATTAAATATTTCTGACGATTGAATAAATGAACGGAACTAAATTTAGTACTTTAATACACTTATTACAAGTACTGTAGACCTACAAACAAATTCTTCGCGAAAACAAATGCCTAACACAAAATGTTATCGAAAAACTTTCTTGCAGATGTGAGCAAATTGAACAGTAACATTGCATTTTATGTTCATAGGGTGATGAATGAAAGAAAAAAATTTCTGAAGAGTAATAAATGAACGGAACTAAATTTAATATGATTAGGCCTATACTTTATCATTAGAGTATAATCAGATTTTTTACTGTATAAGTAAAAAGAAAAACTCCAACGAAAACAAATGCCTACTAGAGCTCTAATAGGCTAAGTTAAAAAATGTTTGCTTTGAATTATAATTGTATTTTTGGGGATTTGAGTCCCGAATAGTTTGGCAGGGCAGTATATGTAATCTGCAGTAATTACATTTAGGCCTATACCATATTATGACAAAATACGCATTACACAACTTATCCACTACACAGTGAATTTACTTCAAACAACTCAGGCTTCCGTCTAAATGTTTTGTTCCCAACTCCATTCTCCTTCATAATAATAATGTTAATAGATAATTGTGGTTTTAAGTGCAATTTTGACCTAATTTAATTAAGTTTAATATGTAATATTAGTTAATAATGTTTTATATTATTTTTGTACATGTATGACTATATTGATCTTTGGTGCTCATAGTTTTATGTCCTTGTTGATGTTCAGCGTGACCACTCACAATTGTTGATATACCGTACCCAATGACTGGGTCGAAATTACCCAAGATTTAGCAAAAATTGCCCACAATTACCCAAGCTTCCTGAAAATGCATTAAGATTTGCAAAAACCGTGTTTTTCGCGTATATAGTTTCCCTTTTAGTTCAATTATAAACCATTTTTATTGTAATTGTCTGTGTTAATTATTAAAATGAGGTGATAATACGGATAGAAAAATACGCCCTCAGTCGGCCAGTGTTATCAGTAGATCAGTGATCAAGTTTTATTATGTAATGCATTAATTAGGTAAGATCAATGGCAACGCAAATCACAAATAAACTCTGAACCCATGTTTATAGCAATTAACAGTCAATTAACAATGTTATGTGCACTTCGTTGAATTTTGCTTACTTGAATGTATTGAAATAATTATACTTTGTTACTTCTTAATTATTCCTCTATGACAAAAAGTTAATTTTCTTAGTAAAAATAAAATACCCAGGATTTGAACAGAAAACCCCAGAACCCAAGTCCAAGTCAAAATACCCAATTTGGGTAAATACCCAAGCAGTGGTCACACTGCTGATGTTGTTAACGTGTAACGCTCGAGATGAAAATACGCCATCATCGGTATGTTAACGGCTGTTCAACCATTAGATTTTACGTACTATCGTACGTACAAACTACTGCTGAATGCAGTAGTGTTTTGCTGCAGTGACATCTCGGTGCTGGCGACTCGCTGCTGGCGATGACTCGCTGCTGGCGAATCGATCTGCGCATGTGTATAAAATGGTATTTACTTCCGAAAACATGCCTGCTGCATGCCTGCTGCACGCGGTAGGTTTGTATTTTGTTTTTCAATGAATGAAATTCGACTTTTAAGATGTCTTTCTAGACCTAGTTACATTATCATTATAGAATATTGTATATTAACTCTAAAATATAACACAAAGTCAATTTTATATAGGTCTAACTTATGTAGGGCTACGGAACGATGTAGGC